TCATTGTCACATATTTTTTCCCAGTCTATGGGTTTCTTTTTATCCTATTGGAGAAGTTTTTTTTAATGTGTATAGGGAAATGATTCTTAGAAGGTCCCATTCATCTATTTTATTCTCTCCTTATAGTCTTTTCATTATGCTTGGAAGTCTTTTCATGCTGTGGATTAGAGCTTCTAGAGTTATTCCTAGCCCCCATTGGATCTTAATGAACAGTTTCAACATTTACTATTGCAGCCACTTATGAGTAAAATTTATTCCTTGTATAATTTCTTTTCTCTTACTTATCTCTTGTAAAAAGGCTCTAGAAGTTATCAGAAGATTTGTGGGGTTGTTATATACCATTAATTCAACTACGACTCAACGAAACCTATGAACAATAAATCAAAACTTTTCGGGCCCTATCCTGCTCCATCCTCACCATATCTAACATTCCCCAGCCCATTCCTACCGTCACTATTTCAATCAAGCTTGTTGAAGGTCTTCCTTTCTCTGACCCTCCACCTTTGCAAGCATGATGTCTTTTCCAAGGACTGGTGTCCACAAACTCCCCCACTCCAATCTCATAACATGACTGAAGTCTGTGAGATGAAGTTTCACCATCCCTACCTTTACGGATCACCCTGGTTGCACTTCCTCCAAGACAGACGTGTTTATTCTTTCAGCAGTTCAGGATATATTTAGTATGCTTCACCAACATAACAAATTAAAAGGCATCAGTTCTTCTGTCACCCTTAGTCATTGCCCAACTTTCAGATGCATACTTGGAACCCCAGTCAATGCCCATGAAAATGTTGTATTGGGGAAATCAGTGTCAAGAACATCTCCAAAGTGCTAAAGAGTTGTGATGTTAATTTAAAGACTAATGTGTGCATGATTCAAGCCATGTATTTTAAAGTGAAGTTAGCCGTATCTAGGCTAGTCTCCTCATTACTCAACATTATATCCATTCTTCCTCCATTTTGCTCAGCAAATTCTCCTCCATCCAGAACCCACTGTCCTCTCCTTACCTAATCTATCCAAATTCTTTGTTATAGTCTCTCTGGCTCCCCAAAGCCCTCATCTCCAAGCTGTCATTTAGTGAATTTCTAATTTGGTTCCATGTCACATCTATGTTATAATAGAGAGGTTATGTGATTTTATCTTGTCAATTTGACTACACTGTAAGACCTTTGAAATCAAAGAGTTATTATCCACTGTTTAATTTCTATGTTCATATGTCAGCCTATTTTTGGAGGTCAAGGAATTTAAAAACTTGACATAATCACAACCACTCTACTTGAGGAAGTATGATGTCCTTCACCAAGGATGTTTATCTCCTGATGCCCAAAATACCGGAGACAAGGTCCCACCATCCTTGCTTTTGAGGAGTTTTCTGACTGTTCTTCTAAGTCAAGGTTGTTCTGGCAATCCATAGCATATTCAACATTCATCGCTGACACTGTAATTCAAATGCACTAACTCTCCTTCAGCATTCCTTATTCATTATTTAGTTTGCACATACATAAGAAGCAGATGAAAATATTATATTTTGGATCAGATGCACCCTATCTTTAAAAACAAAACAAAACAAAATTTTGGCACTTTAAAGAGGTCCCTGGCAACAAATTTGCCCAATATAATCTTGATTTCTTGACTGCTGCTTCCATGGGACTTTGTTGAGAATTATACTGAAAGGAAATTTTTTAAAATATTTTTTAAAATTAATATTAGAAAGTTTACAGAGACTTTGAATTTCCACTCATTCATTGTTACACTTTTCTCCCTGCCCAACCTCCCCCCGAGTTGGCTCTTCTCTTTGAAAAGTAAAAGAAAAATTATTTCATTGTTATACAATCCCTCTCCCCAAGTCCACTCCACTGTGCAGCCTTCATTTTAAAAATCAAAAGAAAAATTCTTTCATTGTTATACAATCCCTCCCCCCTAAGTCCACTCTCCTATGCAGGCTTCATTCTGGACTCCTGTCATGGCAATAATAACCTAATCATATATCACTTTTAAACAATTCTCTCCGTCATCTGTTTCAATGCAGTATACATTATTTAATCCCCTCTTTCTCAGTCTCCACCCAACCCCGATGTCAGTCCTGTTTTACAACAGTGGGGCACTATGCAGTGTTTGTCCTTTCATGACTGAGATATTTCACTCAGCATAATGTCCTCCAGGGTCACCCATTTTGTATAATATTTCCTGAGTTCCTTGTTTTTCAATGCAGCATAGTATTCCATTGTGTGAATATACCAGAGCTTTTCTATCTATTCGTTTATTGATGGGCACTTGAGTTGTTTCCAACTCTTTGCTATTGTGAACAAAGCCACAATAAACATGGGTGTGCATATATCTGCTTGGGTGGCCATTATGGTTTCTTTGGACAATGACCAAGGAGGATAGAAGGAGAATTGATGCCTTTGAGCTGTGGTGCTGGAGAAGAGTATTGAGAATACCATGGACTGCTAGGAAAACAAACAGATTTATCCTGGAAAGGGTTAAACTGGGTGACTCCTTGGAGGCAAGGATTCTGAGGCTCTGTCTAACATACTTTGGACATATTGTGAGGAGAGACAGGTCCTTGGAGAAGGACATCATGCTTGGGAGGATGGAGGGACAACGCAGGAGAGGAAGGCCCTCTATGAGGTGGATTGATTCAGTGACTGGGATAATTGGGATGGGAGTGTCAGAGACAGTGCGATTGGCACAGGACAGAGCGGAGTTTAGGGCTGTTGTACATAGGGTCGCTATGAGTCGCAAGCGACTCGACGGCACATAACAACAACAACAACAACAATAACATATGCCCAGTAGTGGAATTGCTGGGTCAAATGACATTTCTATTTGAAACTTTTTGAGAAAGCGCCATACAGCCTTTCATAGTGGTCACACCATTTTACACTCCCACCAACAATGAGGGTTCCAGTATCTCCACAACCTTGCCAGCATCTGTTGTTTGTTGTTATTTGTTGTTCTGTTAAATTTTGCTACTATTCTTACTGGGGTGAGATGATAATCTCATAGTTGTTTTGATGAAAGGAAATTCTTAACAAATTAAAACTTTTCACATTTATCATGATGTTAATTGGTCTAATTGTGATTTTTGTTTTCTTTATGTTAAGGAGTAATCCATGCTGAAAGTCTTTGAGATTCATCAAGTGCTTCAAGTCTTCTTCCTTTTTTACACAAGCAAGAGCGTGTCATGTGCATATCACAGCTTGTTGATGAGTTTTCCTCCAATCCTATTATCACATACACTGCAGCTTCTCAGGTTATTTGCTCAGCAAATATGGTGATGATAACAAACATGATGTGCAACATTCTGGTTTTAAACCATCCTGTATCCCCCTTGAAACACTGCTTCTTAGTCTATGGTCTATGGTCTATGGTCTATGTACGGGTTCTTCATGAGCACAATTAAGTGTTCTGGGATTCCTGTTCTTCTCAACATAATGCATAATTTGTTATGATCACACAGTCAAATACCTTTACACAGTTAATAATACATAAGTAAACATCTCTCTGGTGTTTGCGTTTTGGTTTTTGGTTTTGGAGGGGTTTTTTGTTTGTTTTGTTTTTTTGCTTTCAGATAAGATCCATCTGGCATCTACAATTATACCTCATTCTACATTATCTTCTCTATTTTACTTGAATGTTTGGCGGTTCCTTGTCAATGTATTGCTCCAGCAATATTTTTAATTATCTTCAACAATATCTTACTTGCCTGTGATATTATTTATACTGTTCAAATTATTGCTATGTGCCTTCAAGTTGGAACCAACTTGTAGCTGATCCTCCAACAGGTTTTCAGAGGCAATAAGATTGCCTATCTTTCTCCCATGAAGCAGCTAGTGAATTTGAACTACATAGCTTTACATTGGCAGCACAATTCATTACCACTAAGCCTCCAGAACTTCCTTATGTTGTGTAGTTGCTATTATGTGCTTTTGAGTCACTTGCAACTCATAGCAACCCTATGTTACAACAGCTATGAACCCTGCTCTATCTTGAGCTAACCTCTTTGTCTCTGGCACACCTACCCCCCCCCCATTACCCCAGCCACTGAGTTAATCCATCTCATGGAGGGTCTTCCTCTCTTGCATTGTCTCTCCACCCTCCCAGGAATGACGTCCTTCTCCAAGGACTGATCCTTCCTTGCAACATGTCCAAAGCATGTCAGATGAAGCTTCAAAATTCTTGCCTCCAAGAAGCAACCTGGTTTTACTCTCTCCAGGATGAATCTGTTTGTTCTCTTAGCAGGACATGGTATATTCAATACTCTTCACCACAACTCAAAGGCATTGATTCTTTCCCTATCATCCTTAGTCATTTTCCAGCTCTCTTATGCACACTAAGTAAAGTGAAGACCATGGCCTGGATTAGGTGCACCTTAGTCTCTAGACCATCTTTCCTCCACGGAGAAGCTGGTGGATTTAAACCACATACCTTTTCATTGGCAGCACAATTCCTTACCACTAAGCCACCAGGACTCCATTATACCTGGAATCAAAACCCCACCCTTTTACATATTTCCTTTCAAGGAGGGAGGTCCATCTCTTTGGGAATGTAACTTTCTAATAAATCTATCCTTTTAATTTTACCTTTATAAAAGAGCTCAACCCCACATTAGGTTGAATTTGTAATTATTGTTGTTGTGTACCGTAGAGTTGGAACTGACCCATAGCTGACCCTCTGTCAGGTTTTCAGAGGTAGTTAATTGCACAGGAGAAGCTTGCAGGTCCTTCTTCCAAAGAGCAGCTGGTGCTCTGAGCCACGTGCCTTTGGGATTGCAGTGCAGCTTCTTGCCACTAGGCTACTAGAGCTATTTGTAATTCAAGATTTTCAAAGGCAGCTTCTACTTTATGTAGCAATAGATGTGTGTATCATTGTGTATGATCTGATTTAAAGTACCATGAGAGCAATCAACCGTAAGCAAAGTCAGTTTTATAGATGTGCTACATTAATCTACTAATGAATTACAAATACACATAAACACTTTTGTTTTCCCTCTGCAGCATGCCATGGAACCTAATTATCTGCATATTTGGCCTAGAAATACCTTTATGATGATTGCACTTCCTAATACGGTAGGGTATCATTTTTATCAATTGTAACTTTGCATCTATAATGAATATTTTTCTTTATGCACTCTTGTAAATAATTGGTGTACGTACTAAATAAACTCTTTATTGTTTAACTGATAGAAAATTTGAAGTTGCTGAAGAGAGAAATGGAAGGAATTTTAGTAATTTACTTTGGAAAACAGTGTTAACACACATGAATTAATAAACTTATGTGGGGTTGTCGTGCCTGACTCTGTCACCTCCTCTGAAAACACTTTAGGAAGAAATGGTCTCCAGATAAAGCCAAAAAGATTTAGGTTATTCACTGTAAAGTACTTTCAGCCTTTAAGGTCTGTGGGACTTTGGAATATACTTTACTGAAAAATGGAATATGATTTTTCTTTCATTAGGCCTTAGTAATTTTGCTACTACATAGTGTTGCTGTTGTTAGGTGCTGCAGAGTCAAGTACAAATGTAGCCACCGTGTGAAAAACAGATCTGAGCCCTGTCCCATCCAGTGCTGTCCTCACCGTCTCTGATACACCCCAGCTGCAGTCGTGTCAATCCACCTGGTGAGGGCCTTCCTTTCCTTCACCAGATCTATTTGTTTCTTTGACTGTTCTTTTTCTTTCTCCTGCTCTCTGTCCCTGAGGTATAGGAGAGAAAATAAAGGACAAGAAATCAACAGGAAAACAACTTATTATTAACCTGAGGAACTTAGTGTTTTCTTGGGGGAAATGCTCAAAATCTGCCAGTCTCAGTTGTCATGGAGACAATGCCAGCTCCCGTTGACCCCATGTGCCTCAGAATAAAACTGGACTCCTTTAGTTTTCTTTTGAAAATTTGTGATTTGAAAGTTTAAAAAGCAGCTTTGTTTTCCAATCAGCCATGTATGCTCCATAGGGCTTTCAATGGCTGGTTTTTCAGAAGTAGGGAGAAAACTCCTTCTACTGAGTTGTCTCTAGTTTCACTTGAACCCCCAAACTTTCAGTTGCCAGGCAATAAATGTATTAACCCTTCACACTACCCAGGGACTCATGGCTGGAGTCTACAGTTTAGAAACTCTCCTGATTATCGAGGATGCTGGGACATACCTTTTGGCCATGGGTAGAGCTCTTTGAGTGTGAGTGAAGGAAGTTAAGATGCCTTTCCTGTCTGCCAGACAGTCCTTACAGGTGTTTCTGGTCACAATAAAAGGTCCTGCCCAGGTGGGGTAGTGCATAATGCATCAGGCTGCCACCGGAAGGGTTGGTGGTTTGCATCTACGGGCTGCTCCACAGAAGCAGGAGACAAGTAGACAGTGCCCTCCCATTGGAAACCAGTGGTGAAGGGCACTGTGAACCTCACTGGACATCACGGGGTGGGCCATTTCAGGGGCTTGTGTCACTCTTCCCACATTCTCTCTCACGTTGTTGTTTCTCCTCACAGAATAAATCTTTCACGTGCACGTTGTTCATGCCATTTGAGGAGTTTGAGAAACTTTCAACCCGTAGTGATGTGCTAGACTTCTTTCAAAAGTACTTTCCAGATTCCATTCCTTTAATTGGAGAGTAAGTAGCTTCCCCCCATAATACCCTACCCAGCTGTACCTTTGACTCCACTGGTTTAAGTTAATCACAATTCAAATGAAAATTATTATGTGCCATCGAGTTGCCTGCAACTCATAATGATCCTATGAATGATGGCTCTGAACCCTGTCCTATCCTGAGCCAATCCTGGGGTGTCAGAGTGACCCCCATGCTGCAGTCACAGTGTGAACCCATCTCACCTGGCCTCTTCCTCTCCTGCACTGCCCCTCCACCCTTTCAAGTATGATGTCCTTCTCCATAGACTGGTCTCTCCTGGCCACATGACATGTGAGACGGAGCCTCAAAATCCTTTCCTCCAAGGAGCAACTTGGTTTCACCCTCTCTCGCACAGACCTGTTAGTTCTCTTTGCAGTCTGTGGTATGTTCAATACTCTTATTCTCCACCACCACAACTCAAAGGCATCAATTCTTCTTCTATCATCCCGTAGGCAATGTATTTTTGTTTGGGTACAGTGTGACAGATCTAGTCACGTACAGATCTAGTCTGCATTGCAGAAGTCTAAAAGGATATTGTGCTGTGAGCATGAATTCTGAATATCAATGAGGTCATGAGCAGCTTCCCTTAAGAGATAGACCACCAAACCACAAGATTTTTCTGTTCCCTTTGCAATACCCTCTGTGCTTCCTTCTGTCAATAGATTTGTGAGGTAATGTACACTCTGAAGATGTCTCAGGGTTGTTCACCTGGTTGTTGTTGTTGAAGCTTATCTGTGTTTCTGGTTTCTTACTGATAAAATAACGTAGCCCCAGAGTGGTGTAAATGGATAATACCTTTGGCTGCTAATAGAAAGCTTGGAGGTTGGGATCCACCCAGAAGCACCTTGGAGACCTACTTTCAAAACATTAAGTTCCTGAAAACACAGTAGAGCACAAGTTCTCGATGGCACACCCAGGTAGACAGGCACCTCAGGAGCTGGCCTTTCCTGAGATACACCTGGTCACACTCAAACTTCTGCCCTTTCAGTCAGTAGCAGAGCAATTAACCACTTACCAACAGGTTTTCCTTCTCCACTTACAGCGTCCACAAAATCTCTGCAGATGCCTGATGAAGATGAAGTCTTTTTCCAAATCCATATGGACTTGCAATAATTTTTGTTTTGGTTTGTTGTTGTTTAATCAGACCCTTAATAGTATCTCAATTTCTCCACCCAAGCCAAACATTTCATGCGCTTGAAAACTGAGTGCCCCAAGCCTATGGTAATGAAATTACCATGACACAGAATTGAAAAAAATATTTAAAATTATTCAAATTTCATCAGATATATGGCAAACTAAGTAGGTCATCAGAATAATGGGATTTTTAAATTGAAAAAAATGCCAGTTACTCTCTTTTCTGTTTTCTTGGTGCACTCTAATGTTTTCTTTGTATATCTAAAAACATATGTAAATTGCATAGGATTTTAATACATATAAATATATTTACAGTAAATTGCATGGGAAGAGATTGCCCATCCTTCTCTCCCAGTGGCTTAGTGGTACCAATCTGTACTGCCAACCCAAAGGCACAAATTGTGCCATAGGAGAAAGATGAGTAATCTCCTCCTGTGTGGTTTGTAGCCTCTGAAAACCAGCTGAAGGGTCAGCTATGAGTCTATTTTTACTCCATGGTGCTTAGCAACAACAAAACAAACAGTGATAAAAAATTTTTAAAATGATGTTTAAATATTAAAAATGAATTTCAGGTAATCTCCCCCCCACCCCAGAATCTTTAAGCGAGTGTCTAGGGGAGGTGTGCCTGTGTGGGTCTATACGTGTATGTTTAAAAATACCACTTTTATCGTAGAAGTACACCCATAATCCTCAGATAGTTAATAGTTCCAAAAGCATTCAGTGTTCACTGCACATTTTAACATCTTTGCGTTCTGCTGGTTTTCCCTGGAAGGCAAGCATTGATGCAAGATTTCTTCCTGTTGCCTGCGCAGCCCATGATATCTGTAAAGTGTTCTTCTTTTCACTTAAAATCAAGCTGTGTGCTGATGGGAGATGCAGCTCACGCCGTAGTGCCCTTTTTTGGACAAGGAATGAATGCGGTGAGTTGCTTTGCTTCATAATACTCATTGAACATATTCTGGGCCACTTGCAACTGCAACACCTTAGATAAAGCATGGCTGAGGTTATCTCTATCCATATTAATGATAATACCAGCTATATAATCAGAGACTGAGTAGTTTATTTACTTAATACAATAATTGAATGTATCTACATTTAAAAAGCAGAATACAGTCCCATGAAAAATGTATGCTTAAAATTTGAAACTGCCAACAATTCAACACATTTTTCTCTAAAAAATATTTTTTCACCTGAGAGTATGAATATAAGTATGTAATATCACCCTCAAGGGAAAAGGAATTTCAAATTATCTGAGGTAGTTTCTCCCCCATTATTTCTTTCAAAAGGAACAAAAATATAACTAGCAGGATTAAATAAAACTATCAAATATGTTAGGTGCCCTCGTGGTATAGTAAGTTGAAAATGGAACTGCTGACTGAAATTTTGACAGTTCAAATTCAAACCCACCCGCCACACCACCCATTAAGATTTACAGCCTCAGAAATGGACAGAGGGCCAATTCCATGATTAAGAATTAAGTGTGGTTTTGTTTTTCAGTGAAATAAATTAGATGTTATTACTACTGCTTTCATGAAAATTTTGTGTTCTCAATAGAAAAAAAATTAGAACTAGAAATGATGTTCAAATGTTGTTGTTGACGGTCCAGTTGGAACCAGCCACTGGACCCTCCAGTGAGTTTTCAGAGACTGTAAATCCATCTCTTTCCCATGAAGCAGCTAGTAGATCTGAACCATGTACCTTTGCATTGGCAATGAAATTCCTACCACTAAGTGGCTAGAGCACCCCAATGTTAAAAACTGAGCATTAATTTCAAGGAATTCTAAAGTAACAGTCTGAGGTGTGTGAGTGTGTGTGGGGGGAGGGGGGGTGAGAGAGAGAAAGAGAGACTGAGGGTATGGAGGTGGGGAATACTGTTGTTGCTGTTGTTGTTAAGTGCCATCGAGTCATAGATGACTCATAGTGATTCTATAAACAAAAGTCCTGAATATTGTCACACTTTGATATTTTGGTGACTGGTGTACATGTATGCACCTGTGTACAATTATACAGGTTGAGAGGATATTTGAAATAAAAGATTTTAATTTTTATTTTACAGTTAATTTATTTATACCCCTTTTCTTGTTTCAGGGCTTTGAAGACTGCTTGGTATTTGATGAGCTAATGGATAAATTCAATAATGACCTCAGTAAGTAAAACTCTTCTATTAGGTGTCTTTCTGATCCACAGTGGCCACAAACTCATTGTGGATATTTCCTAGTCAAGACTATAGATTTTTCCATGTCCAACCAACCTATGCCACTGTTACCACCCATAGCTGACAACAAGCACCCTGGGAGAGAAAGAAAGCTTATTTGAAGATTTGTACATGAGATTTGTACATGAGATCTGTGTAATGACCCACACAATGAAAGAAGGTTAGGGTACCACAGGTTAGGGTTAAGGCTAGGGTACCTCTCCCAGCATCCTTCCCATTCAGCTTCTTCAACCTCAGAAGTATCCTGTTGCCAGTGTGCCCTGCAGCAGGACCTCAGATACACTCTTTTTAAAAAAATTATTATTAATTTTAATGAAAATTTACAGAGACTTTGAATTTCCAT